CGCTACTTCTTTTGCGTTTTCCTCCAATCGACGAGAAGTAGCAGCAGACGCCTCAGCAAGAGCAGCTTGCTGCCGCAGCAGCTGCAGCAAACACCCAGCAGCAGCAGCAGCAGCAGCAGTTGCAGCAGCAGCAGCAGCAGTTGCAGCAGCAGCTGCAGCAGCTGCTGCAGTAGCAGCAGCAGTAGTAGCATGCAAAAGCAGAAGTGCATCACCAGCAACAGCAACAGCAACAGAAACAGCAGAATCAGCAGCAGCTGCAGCAGCAGCAGCAGCAGCAGCAGCAACAGCAGCAACAGAAGCAGCAACAGCAGTTACACAGGCAAAACCAGCCACCACAAGAAAACAGACAGCAGCAACAGCAGCAGCAGCAACAGCAGCAGCAGCAGCAACAGCAACAGCAAGAGTAGCAGTATTCTTCTACTGGCTCTGGTGCTGCTGCGCTGCGCCCTGGGGGCCCCCGGGGGCCCCCTGAGGCCCTGGGGGCCCCCTGAGGCCCCGGGGGCCCCTAGGGTTTGTGTTGTTGTGTTGTTTTGTTGCGTGAATGTTTTGTTTGTTTGTCTTTGTTTGTCTTTGTTTGTTTTTATTTTATTTGTTTTTGTTTATTTTTTTATTTTATTGTTTTTATTTTTGTTTATTTTGTTGTCTTTGTTTTTTTTTGTTTTTTTTTTATTTTTTATTTTATTTGTTTATGTTTTGTTTTTTATTTTTTTCTATTCTATTGGTTTTGTTTATTGCTTTGTTTGTGACTGTAGACATGTGCTGTCTTTCTTCTTTATTTTTATTCATTTATTTATTTGTATTTATTTATTTTTTTATTTATATTATATTTATTTATTTATTTATATTATATTATATTTATTTATATATTTATATTTATTTGTTTATTTTTGTATGAGTAAATTTGTGTGTCTCTCTCGCCTTATTTGTATTTATTTTTTGTATTTATTTTATTTTTTTTATATATTTATGTATTTATATTTATACTTATACATTAATATGTATACATTTATATTTATATATTTATATTTATATATTTATATTTATATATTTATTTACTTTGTTTTGTATGAGTAGGTTTGTTTTTCTTTCTTGTCTCCGTCTCCTTTCTGCTGCTAGCGTCTGCTGCAGCGACTGCTGGATGGCTGTCTCCTCTTCGAACCCTAAACGGGGGCCCCCGGGGGCCCCCAGGGTACGGGGCCCCCCCAGGGTACCGGGGCCCCCCAGGGTACGGGGGCCCCCCAGGGTACGGTGGGGGGCCCCCAGGGTACGGTGGGGGGCCCCCAGGGTACTGGGGGGCCCCCCACTGTACCCTCCTTTGGGGGGCCCCCAGAAGGGTGATCGGCACCACGTGCAGCTGGGTGGGGCCCCCTCGCGTTGCGCATGTAGCTGCTGCTGCTGCCGCTGCTGTTGCTGCTGCTGCTGCTGCTGCTGCTGCTGCTGCTGCTGCTGGTGTCGCTTCTGCTGCTGATGCTCTTGTTGTTGTTGCTGCTCTTGTTGGTGCTGCTGCGGCTGTTTTGGAGAAGCTTGCTGTTGCTTCTGCTTCTGCTGCTTCTGCTGCTGCTGTTGCTGTTGCTGCTGCTGCTGCTGCTTCCGGGATAACGTTCTATTGCTGCTGCTGCTGCTGCTGCTGCTGCTGCTGCTGCTGCTGCTGCTGCTGACAGCCGGTGAGTTGCTGAGACCACGTTGGGCCAGCCGTGCAGCGGAAGCAGAAGCAACAGCAGCAGCAACAGCAGCAGCAGCAGCAGCAGCAGCAGATGATGCAGCATAGTTTCTCTCTTCTGTCTGTACACCCGTATAGGGCCTCCGCCTGACCACATGCAAGGCCTCCTCTCTGCTGCTGCTGTTGCTGCTGCTGCTGTCGTTGCAGCTGCTGCTGCTGTTGCCGTTGCTGTTGCTGCTGTTGCTGTTGTTGCTGCTGCTGCTGCTGTTGCTGCTGCTGTTGCTGCTGCTGCTGTTGCTGTTGCTGCTGTTGCTGTTGCCACTGTTCCTGCTGCTAACGGCACGACTGCTGCCCCTTTCATTGCTGCTAGCTTTGTTGCAGCTGCTGCTGCTGCTGCTGCTGCTGCTGCTGCTGCTTCTACGCAGCCTTGGCCTGGGGGTGCATTCGGCTGTCTCCGATCCCCACGGCTCCGTGGGGACAGCAGCACGCGCGCTATCAGAGCGGCACCAACTCTTGCTGCTGCTGCTGCTGCTGCTGCTGTTGCTGCTGCTGCTGCTGATGTTGCTGCTGCGGCTGTTGTTGCTGTTGCTGCTGCTGTTGCTTATTCTGCTGTTGCTGCAGCCACCGTTGCTGTTGCGTCTGCTGTATTTGGAGGCATTGCTGCCACCTTTGCTGCTGCTGCTGCTGCTGTTGCTGCTGCTGCTGCTGCTGCTGCTGCTGCTTGTACTGGGTATATTCGTTTGTACTTCCGCATCTACAGCGCGCGGAGTTTTAGCTGCTGCTGTTGCTGCTGCTGCAGTTGCTGCTGCTTCTGCTGCAGCAGCAGCGCCAACTGTGTCTCTGTCTCTGCTGCAGTTGCTGCTCCCCTCGCTTACCTCTTCCCTAGCAGGGGGCCCCCCATGAGGGGGCCCCCCATGCGAGGGCCCCCCATGGGGGGGCCCCCCAGCCAGGGGGGGCCCCCCGGGTAGGGTACAGTCTGCGTGCTGGGGCGGGGGGGGCCCCTGTGTAAATACATCTGCTGCTGCTAGTGTGAGGGTTGCCCATTCTGCTGCTACTTTCTCTGCCTTGAGTGCTGCTGCTGCTGCTGCAGCAGAAGCAACAGCTCCTCGTGCTGCAGTGCAGCAGGCTGCTTCGCTGTTTGCTGCTTTAGCTGCAGCAGAAGCTGCTGCTACTTCTGCTGCTGCAGCACGTTCTGCTGCTGCTGCTGCTGCTGCTGCTGCTGCAGATGCTGCTGCACCAACAGATGATGGTGGTATCAGGCCCCTCTCAGTTTTAGCTGCTTTTGCTGCTGCTGCTGCTGCTGCTGCTGTTGCGTCTGCTTCTGCTGCTGCTGCTGCTGCTGCTGCTTTAGCCTGCTCCGATGCATCGAAGGAAGCAGCAGCAGCAGCAGCTGCTGCTGCTGCTCCTCTTGCTGCTATCCTTTCAGCTGTCCGTGCAGGCCCAACAGCAGCAGCAGCAGCTGCTGCAGCATCTGCTGCTGATTCTGCTGCAGCAAGTGCTTCTGCATGCGCAGCAGCAGCGACATTTCTATGGCCGACGACTTGTGCTGCTGCTGCTGCTGCTGCAGCACGAAGGGATTCTACTTGCTGCTGAGACTTTGCTGCTGCTGCTGCTGCTGCTCGTACAGACTGCTGCAGCAGCCGCCTATCAGCAGCAACTGCTGCTGCAGTGAAGTCAGCTAGCTGCCGCAGCTGTGTTACGGTGGCTATACACCTGAGAGCAGCAGTTTCTGCTGCAGCAGCACAATCTGCTGCTGCTGCTTTGTGCTGCTCTGTTGCTGCTGCATCTGCTGCTGCTGCTTCTTTGTGTTGCTCTGTTGCTGCTGCATCTGCTGCTGCTGCTTCCTTGTGCTGCTGTGTTGCTGCTGCATCTGCTGCTGCTGCTGCTTCGTCTGCTGCTGCTACCATCTCCTCCTTCACGGTGCCTTCAGCTACAGCAGAAGCAGTAGCAGCAGCAGCAGCAGCAGCAGCAGCAGAGGCAGAGCGCTGCTGCTCGCTGTCTGCTGCTGATTGAGCAGCAGCATCAGCAGCAGCTTGTGCTGCAGCAGCAGCTTGCTTCGCCTGTTCTGCTGCCTCTACGGCTTGCTGCTGTTGCTGCTGCACCGCAGCAGCAGCAGCAGCTGCTGCTGCTGCTGCTGCCTCCTTCTGGGCTTCCAACTCAGCAGCAGCAGCAGACGTCCATTGCCGCAGCTCTGCTGCTGCTGCTGCTGCTGCCTCATTCACTTGCTGCTGCAGCGCAGCTGCTGCTGCTTCAGCAATATCTTTGCGTGCATGCGCTGCTGCAGCATCTGCTGCTGCTGCTTCCCTGTGCTGCTGCTGCTGCTGCTGCTGCGTTGCTGCAGCAGCAGCGTCTGTCTGCTCACTCTCCTGCGCTCTGGCTGCTTCCCCCTTAGCAGCAGCAGCNCAGCAGCAGCGTCTGTCTGCTCACTCTCCTGCGCTCTGGCTGCTTCCCCCTTAGCAGCAGCAGCAGCAGCAGCAGCAGCCTGCTGCTGCTGCTGCTGCTGCATAGTTGATAGGATTTCATCTGCAGCAGCAGCAGCTTCCTGAGCAGCAGCAGCAGCAGCTTTTGCGAGGCCCTGCCATTCATCTGCTTTTTGGTGTTTCTCCTCAGCAGCAGCAGCAGCAGCAGCTGCTGCTGCTGCTGCTTGCTGCTGCGTTTCCTTTGCTTCTGCTGCAGCAGCAGCTGCTGCTGCTGCATGCTGCTGCACCTCCTTAGCTCCTGCTGCAGCAGCACGAATGTGCTGCTGCAGCCCAGCAGCATGAGCAACAGCTGCTTCTCTGTTTCTTCTTATTGCATCTGCATCTGCTGCTGCTTCTTCTTTGTGCTGCTGCAGTGCAGCAGCAGCAGCAGCAGCAGTTGCTGCTGCCTGTTGTGCCCCCTGAGCTGCAGCAGCACTACCCTTGAGATGCTGTCCTGCTGCTGCTGCTTGTCGTGTTGCTGCTGCTGCTGCTTGCTGCGCTTCTGCTGCTGCAGCCTTTACTACGACGCATGCATCCTCTATAAGCTGCTGCCTCTGAGCAG